CTGCCTGCCTGCCTGCCTGCCTACCAACCTGCCTGCCTACCTACCAATCCCTGAATGCAAAGTGCCAAGGCTCTGTGATCAACCAAGCACTCTTTGAGACTTGAGTGAGTCAGAGGGCTTTACATGCAGCTAGCTCACTTGGGCGCCTTCAACTTCGCCTTCCAGGCACTGATCTTGTCGTCTGAAGCTTCTTCCGCCTGTACAAACCGTCGCCGTGCTCTTAGGGGTCCAGTTTAGGGGTTTAAAGTGTTTATGGTTTGGGGTGAAGGGTCTCCGTGGGGCATCAGCTAGGCGCAGCTGCACAAACGAGTCTGACGAAGTACTGCACAAAGCACCTCCAGCTTCTCTCTTCGTGCTTTTTCGTCCACGTCCCAACACCACCTAAGCAGAGCAAACATCGTGGGATCTACGGTGCCTGGCCCGCTTCCTAAATCCCGTCACCCTACGCTGTGAAACCTCAAATGCCGTCCTAGCCCTGCAGAAACAAGAACAACAAAGCCCAAGGTTTATAGTAAACACCAAAAAGTTGGAAACCGGGCTAAGGTCAAATAGTGCTGGGATTCCCTATACATTACTCTTAAGGATTGAGGCTATTGGGTTTCCTACTGTGGGTATGCATAGGATTTGGGATGCGATCTTGCACAGACCCACGTCTGCAAAACCTCATCCACCCTTATGGTATACCTCAAGCACCTCAGACAGTAAGCTCCGAAATCGTACGCAATAAATCCCTACTTCCCAAAATCCCGCGCCCTCGTTCCGGCTGGCGGTTCTTGAGGCGGCCGCTCCCAGCCGTTTTTGTCAGAGGCCGCCTGTGTGCGTGTGTCGCCGCGCGAACTACTCTACATGTACATACATACATACATACATGCATGCATGCATGCATTCATTTAGTTCGCATGTGTGTGTGTGCGCGCTTTCTCTGCTTTTGCGGTTTCTTCGTCTGCTATTCGGTCAGTTTGTTTAGTCTGGTGTACTCGAAGTGAAGGTTTGGTGGGGTTTACGCTTTCCGGTGTTTAGGACGTTTGGATTTGGCTTCTAAGGCTGAGGGTAAGTTTGGGCTGCAGGTCAAGGCTAGGGTTCAAGGTGACAAAAATAAATAGACGGGCTTAGGCAGCCGGAACAGGAGGGGGCTCTCGGGTATGTCATGCTGTAACTTAACTTAGGCACTTCTGAAACCAATAATTCCCTGTAAGGCTCTGTCTAACGAGTATCCTCTTTGTTGCACGATCGTTACCAAACCCGATATCCCTGATGAAAAAGGCATGACGCATATACCTAAATCATTCCTAAACCCATCCACGCAAAAACTCTCACGCATAGGCAAGCACAGACAATTCAGATACCCTTCATAAATTATTCTCGTAGGTGTTCTCAAGGGTCTTCTGCCACGAGCCCTAAATCCTAAACCCTAAACCCTTTTCCAGGGAGATTTGCCTTGATATGAGCTACCATCTCCGCGTTGTCGTACTTTTCGCCCTGGCCAGGCTGGCATGGAGTCTACCCAGGGGCTCCAATGTAGTTCCTTTTTGGGTCTGTTATGGTTTTTTGGTAAGGAATTATAGTATACTATCCAAAAAGGAACTACATAGGAGCCCTTGGGTAACATAGAAAACTCAAGGTGAGTGGGGCTTGCGGGAAATGTGTGTCAGTGGTTCAAGATTTAAGAGCCACAACGAGAAGCCCAGAATTCCATTTTGCCCGTGCAGCCTGTTCTGTATCGGCACTTCTCTGGAGAACTCACGAGAGAAGCTGCCTTTCTGGAGCAAGTAGTCGTAGTAAGGACTTCTGTACCTAGAGAACAGTAAACTATACCTTATGGTCTAGAAAAATAACCCGACCAGCACCTGATATACTATAGTTACAGATACACATCAATCTGCTGGAACTCTAAGGTAGGGTTCTCAATAATTAGACTGGGGTCTTGGGGTCCAATATACTATATGTAGAAGGAAACCCCCTCCCAAAAAAAATAGTATTGGTACTTACCCTATATTAACTGATTCACAAGGCCCAAGCCCGACGGCAAAATCCACTCGGCTACTCAGCCCACGCCCAGCTTCCACCCTTGTTTATGGTTTCAACGGAGAAGGTCGAGGCTTGTAAGAGGGGCTATGTCTTTAGGATCTTCACGGCTTGGTGTAGGATCGTAGGTCTTTAAGATCTTTCAAGCTTGGGGCTTGACAGCTTGACAGGGTTTAGGGTGTTAGGGTTTATTCTTTAGGAGGTTCATAGTTATAGTGCTTTTGGGATTTTTCTGCGTTCAGGCTTTTGGTATTTTTCTGCGTTCCGGATTCCCTGCCTTGGGGAGCACCAAACGCTCGACGTGGCGCGCCCAGGCGATCTCTCCGTGGTACTGAGCCTGTGGCGGGGAGTACGGGACAAGGAGCTGCCATTTTATTGTAAGCCCCAACAAAAAACCAAGGAGCATGTTATCACAATATTCGCAGCTTTACCTGCACAGCCATGACCCATCCATACATGTACAACTACATACACTTAAGTGCACAGGTAAGTACGTAAGTGCGTAAGCGTGTGCGTGTTGTGTATGCGTGTATGTATGTACAGTAGGTATCCTGGTATGTAGGTATGTAGGTATGTATATTATATATATGATATGTTTAGATGTATACGCATCATGTCAGTAGCGCAGAAGTACCGGCAGCAGCCACAAGTATTTGGAGGCGCCTCTTTGTACTTGAGGCCCTTGGCCACGATGGATTCTGAACTGCCCAGCTTGCCAGTCGTGGCCACCTGATGTAATGTAGGGGCCTTAATGATTAGAACAGGGTTTGGGGTATTTTATACTACATTATACTAAGGAGCGCCCAAAACCCTTTTCTAAGTATTCAGGCCCCTACTTGGAGGTCCAGCGGACTTAGTAAGTCGGTAATAAGTGGGGTTATAATTGGGGTAACTCCATTTAGGGTACTTATAACTCTACTTATAACCTACTTACTAAGTCCCCTGGTCCTCCAAGTAGATTATGCTGGCTGCAGTCTCACAAGGTCCTCACGAGCAACTCAGGTTCGCCGTTGTGTGATCTGTATTGTTCATGGGAGCTTCGGAAAATGCAGGAGCCTAATTTGTAGTAGGATCCTCAATAGAACGATTCCCATGTGAGGGCCCGTAATTCTAAAGTACTGGCCATTATGCCTACTGAATGCTCCAATGCCACCTGCCAGGAACTTGCTATGCTCGCCCCCGACGCCTCTGAAACCGAAACACAAACCCTCGAACCTGAAGCCTAGACTCCAAACACGTTCTTGGAAGAGCTTTCGTTGCCCTGGGACATGTGAACTACCCGAGCGAACGAAGAGTATGAAGTCCATTAATTTATACGTAATGTTAAAGTTATAAAGCCTATGACGAGCAGAACACGACGCTGTAATACGATAATAAAGGAGGTTTAAGAAAGTGCAAGAGTCAGCCAGCGCGTTGCTAGAATGTCGATACAGTTGGCTGGCTTTTGGACCGGCAAATGATGGACCGGTGGGGGTTTGACGGGGAAGGTGAGTGGGAAATTCTGAGGAGTATAAACCATGAATCCGAACCTCGGATGATAGGTTGAATTAGGTTGAATCGCTGCTCACTAGCTATGATGTGATGATGGCTAGCAGGACCACTTCCCAGGAAATCGTGCTCGTCTGCCGATAAAGCCTTGAGGGTCTCCTCCAGCTCGTTGTCTGTGTACTCGTTGAGGACCTTCCGCACTCTGTGCTGAAAAAGGCAGGAGCCATCTGCGGTTATGGAAAGTAGCATGTCATGGTATGTAAACGCATATAGATCCGCCACCGCCGCCACTACCACGACAACAACGATGACGTCGACGACACATTTGTACATCTACAGGATCATGACGGTTGGTGTGACGGTGATTGGAAACACCTTCTTGACACTTGTTGCCTTTACGGTGCTATATGGGTCGTTCCCTTATGTAGGGTCACCGGGTCCCTTTTGAGGTCCTTGTTATAATGTACTATATTGGGGACCGAAATTTAGAGACCTACTCATATGGATGCTGCGCATGCAGGCTTCTATTCACGTTGACACCTCAGCCCCCGGCATGAGCGTAGTAGTCCAAACAGGCCAATCGCTCTGCCTTTAGGTTGGCGGAGTCCTTGCGAGTTGGAACGGAAACTGGCAGTATTCCAAGGGCTTCGCTGCAAGATTGTGCTTGTGTGCTCGCGACTCGCGATCGCTTCGCTTCTTGACGCCGAAAGTCCTCAGGAGAGAAAGTTGTGCGAAGGCGCACGTCCTTCAACACAATGTAGCAGTCTCCTTAGATGCTGGAACAAGCAAATGCCGCTGCAACTCTTTCACCACAAACGAAGGCACATAATCACCATCCTTTGTCTAGGATTTCAGCTGCAGCTGTGCAGCCGTACTGTTTGGCTCGGACGACTCCACGGTAATCCTGGGCTGTTCTTGAATTCCTTTAAAAAACCGTCGCCTATAATCCCGAATACACTGCTACTCTGTATGGAACACAATAAACCTTAAACCCTAAACCCTAAACCCTAATAAAGAATATTTGCCAGAACGGCCTAGAATCGTTGTGCACGTTGAGGACTCCATACTTGGGCCGCTCGAAGTCGCGGCAGCCAGTGTAAGCGCCTCTCTCTGCCGATAACTTCTGGAGGTCCCCAAAACTACAATAACGACAGCAACTACGGCTGGTGGACAAAATCCTGCATGACCTTATATACCTAAACTCTCGGATTTATGGTGCTATACTATATTTGGGTCATGCAGACTCTTGTCCATGAACAGTAGCAGTAGCATCACTATTGCTATTCCTATTACTTTTGTGTGGAACCCAAATACTCTCATGCAGCGCGGGCAATTCCTAAACCTTACAAGCTTCAATCGCAAAAACTGTACGGATAGATCCCGAATCCTAAACCCCCTAAACCTAAATCCCAAAGCCTGGCCCCTTTAAAGGGAAGTGCGCATCAAATATTATTTAGCGCAGTCGTTACATAATTCGGTTATGATATACCCCTGCCAACCTGATTGATTGACCTGCTAGTGCCAAACCCTACACCCTGAACCTTAAGCCATGAACCAACATCCTGCTGCAGCTGCAGGGGCCACGATTTAGGGACTTGGGACTTAGGGTTTAGGGCAGTTTAGGGTTCAGGGCTTAGTTTAGGGTGTACTACAATAGGATTCCTTAAGGGTTCCTCGATTATAAGCACAGAAAATATCCTCGTGCAGTAAGGCACCCGGAAATCATGCAACCCTTACAGTATCCCGTATCGTAGCAACGTATCCTAATTCTGAAGGCATAATAAGCCGTGTAAGCCCCAAACTAAGACCCGACCTCATATAACCCCTCATAGAAAGCCTTAATTATAGAAGTACTTACAGGATCTCTTTCAAAAAACACCGAAAAAAACAAAAAAGCCACATACTGAAGGCCCTTGCCTTGAAAAAGGTCGCGCTCCCACCGGTCACGGACCTCCCGGTTGTTGAGACCACAAGATTTCCCAGTTTCGAACCTCGGCTGCAAAAAGTATATGGGTTTAGGGTTTAGGGTTTAAGGGTTTAGGGTTTAGGGTTTAAGGGTTTAGGGTTTAGGGTTTAGGGTTTCTCTAAATTAGGGTCCCTTTTTGGGTCCTTTTTATAAGGGTGCCGTACACTATTGGGGACCTAAAAAGGGACCCTATTTTAGAGAACTACCCATGTAATGTGTATGGGTTTCGGGTTTAGGGTCAGGGTTGGTGGTCATGATTTCAGGGTTGGGCTTGAGGGTTCAGGAGGTAGGCTTTCAGATTTAGCCCTTCAGGCTCCCAGGCTTCGCGGCTGCTTTTCAGGAAAGTGGGACTCTTGTAAGAAAAACGTAACCAGCTATAGGCAGGTGTACGTGCTCATATTCATGTGGAACTGGTTTCTACCATCGTCTTTGGAGTGCATACAGGGGGAGCTCGAAACAACATCAGTCGAATTCATTGCGGTAGAGTTCTGTGAAGCCAGATTCTGCAGACGAGTGTCTGGGACCGATAGTGGGTGTCCTGCAGTTCACTTGAAGCTCAATGAACATCGGATGGCCCTGCACAAAAAGACACATACCAGCCCCGAAATGAAATGACATCCACATTCTGAACAAATGCATGACTTCGGGACGGCCAGCCAGCCAGCAATTGATCCCACAAACTCGAAAACTTACCCGAACAGGAGCTGCATCACGTCCGCATCTTGGCCCCGGCTCCCTTTACTGGGTTCTTGTCACGGATTGAAATGGAAGTTACCTTAACAGGGTTCTGGAGTAAAAAAGGGCTTCCTCATGTTCCTCATTGTGGCAGCTTAGGTTCAATTCCTTCACAAAAACCTGGTTTTCCGATCGGGGGGAGAAGGAATTTTGCTGATGAGCCTCCAGAATTCGCTCGAAGTGCCTTTTGCAGAGGGTATGCTGCAGAGTGCCTGAATTGCGCACTATCTATAAGCTTTTCAACATGGTGTTCGTATACGCCCTCTTGCACCTCAGCAAAGCTCGAAGAAACGGAGCAGGCTGTGCAGCCGAACCATCGACCGCCGGACATAAACCCCGCTTGAGAGCCTTCCTAAGGCTATGCAGTACTTAGAGGCCCAGGGGACTTAGTAAGTCGGTTATAAGTTGAGTTATAATTGGGGTAACTCCATTTAGGGTACTTATAACTCTACTTATAACCTACTTACTAAGTCCCCTGGGCCTCCAAGTAGTGAAGGCTCCCAGAAGCCGACAAGCCTCGAAAGTCTACTTGTAGCAGGTAGTCAGGTCAACCCAACCGGGGTAGTATAGTATACTGTAATCTTAATGGTATGGTTTAGTATAGTCAAGCATTTATAATCCGGTCCAAGGGTTGCGGGTCCTCCACGATAAACTGCCACATCCTATCGAAGTGGATGTGGACAATCAGCGGCCTGGTGTGTCCAGGCATGCAGCCGTAATTCTTCCATGTACCACGGGAGCCTCCCGACAGCAACTTTGAGAAGGTTTCCAGCAATGGAAACCAAACAGGCCCAAACACCATCTATGACCCCCGCCCAAAACAAACAATAACTACAGTACAGAAGAATATCACGCCGCATGTCTACGCGCTCAAGACGGCATTGCGCAGCATACTGACAAAGCATCAACACAGATAAAACCAACTCTTCTCGCCAAAGCACGCGAAGTCGCGGACCCACGACAGGGTCGTCCACAAGTCCATGTCCTCAGGCCAGGCCACATCCAGGACAAGATCCAGGGTTTTCTACTGCAAGCTTGATATGGGTAGTTGTCAAAGTTATGGTCCCTTTTGGGGTACCCTAAATAATGGGTGCCGTATTATAATAAGGACCCAAAAAGGGACCATAATTTTGACAACCACCCATATAAGAGCAGCACCAATCCTTCAATGTACTAGTATTCTCATCTCAGTGATAAAACATAACTGTTACTCTTGCCTGCTGCCAACAGTCGCGGAATTGTAAACAATGGAAGCGACATCTATGAGCATGTTCTTCAGCCAATCACATGGATGCCAAGCGTCTTTGTAGCCCAATTTGCTCACACGTCTTTGCAGAACTGGCAGAGCCTGCTGATGATTCACCTGCGCCAAGCGAGCCGGAATTTTTGGGCTTTATGCACCCTTTATCACGTTTTATAGGGCTCACGGGAGTGGGTATAGTTGCATTACCATTATATTACTCTTAAATCGACATTATAACACCATTTGGTCTATTACAATTTTTACTACTATATTACCAGTAATTACCAGGTTACTATTACGTTACCATTAGTACTACTACTATATTACAGCTATACTACCACTATCTTACTTGCTACGAATATTATAAGGATTTGAGGTTCAGGACCCGCCTTGGCGATCTGCCGGATGTTCGACACGGCCCGCTTTTGGCAGTCTGGGCGGTGCAGGGGTCGGGCCTGAAAGGACCTCTCAGAGGACGGACCCCTTAAAGGACCTCTTAAAGGACGGACCGTCCTTAAAGGACCCCTTAAAGACATCGGCTCTCTGCGAGAGAAGGAGAAAAGGTCTCTCAAAACTCACCGCCCATGCACTTAAACCCCCTGAGTCTGGGCCTGTCAGGAGGCAAACATTCTCGATCTCCGAAGGCGGCAGGACCAGCTCCTTAAAGGTATCGATTTCACTGCAGGTGGGTGGCTCGGGAGCTGAGAAGCTTCGGGATTTCGTAGAGTCAGCTTGGGGCCGTTTGCCTGCTTTCTTGCTGGGGTATTGCTGACTTTGAATGCTCGGCTTTACGTCAAAATGTTTTGTCAGGGTTTTGTCAGGGTTGAGGAGCCTAGGCTAGCTGGGGTCTGGTGTATATTGCTGCCACGAACCCTAGGCCCCATAACCCTCTAAGCTTACGCCTTTTCGGCCTCCACCTAGTCTCCTACTACCACCCTGCTTTGCCTCCAACCGGTCCCTGCGAAGCGGCGCCTAACTCAAAGCCAAGCTCGAGCTGAGCTCCCGGCCCAGTAGGCTTGGGCGTCAGGATGAATTCCAGCAAACATCATGTGATCCTGGCGCTTCCGAATCAAAAACCCGACATCCCCAGACCCCGAACCCTGAACCCTCACCCTACACCCTGAACCCTAGAACCTAAACCCTAAACCCCGGAACCCTAAGCCCTGAACCCTAAACCCTGAACCCTAAGCCTAAACCAAACCCTGCGATCGTCGCCTGGATTTCTTCTCTGCTGCGGTCCATGGAGGCCGAGGAGCCCGAACGGTCCTGGACACCAAAACCCTTTTCTAATTAATTTTTAAGGCCTCGATGTTAGGGTTTGCAGCCGAAGGCAGCTTAAGGATTAGAGTTAGAGTTTAAGGTTTAGGGTTTAGGGTTTAGGGTTTAAGGTTTAGGTTTTAAATTTAGTTTGTCTAATGCTTAAGGATTAGAGTGTAAAGGGTTGGGGTGTAGGGCTTTGTTGGTTTAAATGCACTCGCCCTTTCTCCCGCACATGGTCGTAAGAGCTCACTCAGTTCGAGTGTGCAGGTCTAGGGTTCAAAACTTAGGGTTTAGCACTTCAGTTCCCCTAAACCCTAAACCCTAAACCCTAAATTATGAACCCTAAACCCTATAAACCCTAAACCCCTAAACCCCTAAACCCTAGATTTTAGGGGAGGGCTTCGAATGTAAGGTGAACTCTCTGGCCTTGGGGTAACGTAGAAAAGCCTGAAGTCTGTCCGGTTTAGGGCTTTAGGGCTTTAGAGTTTTAGAGCTTCAGGGTTTAGGGTTTTAGGATTTCAGGATTTCAGGGCTTTAGAGCTTTAGGGCTTTAGGGTTTTAGGGTTTTAGGGTTTAGGGTTTAGGGTTTAGCATGTTTTGATCCATTAAGGACTTGTCGTAAACGAGCCCCCTGAGAGAACCATAGGCCCCAAACCCGAAGCCCTAAACTTTCAAACCGTAGACCCCTAAACATCCCTAATATAGGGGCCCAAATTAATTTCCAATACTATTTTCGCTGCTCCTTACTAGAACTCATATACCCCAAACCCTATTCTAATCAGTAAGGGCCCCTACATTAAACCCTACAAACCCTACAGGCCCAAAGCCCTGAGGTCCCGCAGAGTCTTCGCGCGCCGTCGTTCGAACAGGAGGTCGCAGCCTCGAACGATGAACTACACTCCTAGGGGTTTAGGGTTTAGGGTTTAGGGCAACCTCGGGCGAAACCATTTCACGGCCCTTTCCTGTATAGCCTTGGTCGTAGGGTTCAGGGTCTAGGAGAGAGATTAATAAGCAGCTGCCGGCGAATTAGTGGTCTATGCTTTACATTCGAAACCCTATACGCTGGAGCTGAAGTTTGAGTGGACAGGCGGCCACCGAACTCTTCCACGAAATGCTTGAACTCCTCCTGGCGGCTTGTGCTGCTGTCCGACATGGGAGCAACTCAGAACCCTGAATTTCTAAGGGTCTCTATCTGGGTGGTTGTCAAAATTATGGTCCCTTTTGGGGTACCCTAAATAAGTGCCATATTATAATAAGGACCCAAAAAGGGACCCTAATTTTGACAACCACCCATCTGAATTATTGATTAGAACGAGAACTTGGATCCCGTGCACTGGAACCGGAAAGCCATGACTCCAGCGCCAGGGTCGATCCGTGTGGGCGTCAGGTCTGCGAGTTGCTTTTTTGTGGAGAGGGTTAAGGGTTTTAGGGTTTTAGGGTTTAGGGTTTAGGGATTTAGGGTTTAAAGGGAAGCAGAGGTTCCTTCCCTTATCCCTCCTTCTCGACTTTCCCTGTGCCGTTCTTGTCGAGCTTCTTCACCAAATCTTGGACTTCCGCGTCCTTCTGATCAGGGATGTCAGGTAAGTAGTCAAGTTGCTGGTAACACTGGGCATTGCACAATTTAGCGCAGCAGCGAATTAGCAGCAGGGGCAGTACTAAGCAAAGCATTAGTACTGCATTCACGCCATATCGCTCGGGTTGGTTCAAGACTGGTTAAGGACAAAAGCTTTTCGGGTGTAGAGACGGCATTGGTATAGGGCTATGTCCAAAGGAAAGTATGATAGATTGCACAGAGGGCATGGGGTTATCGAAAATATCTTGTGCTGGCAATTCTCGCAAGTGGTTGAAAAACATCGTGTTAGGTTCGGGATGCAAGGCTGGATCACGGCTCCAGGACTTGCCATCAAGGGTCCGTCACTGGACCCCAAAACCACAAAACACCAAACCCATAAGCCGGCAAACCCCAAGCCTGGCAGCCACTGAAGCTCGACGCCCAAACCAAACAACCCTAAATACCGCGAAAAGAATTAAGCCCGAGATCCTACACCTTAATTTTAACCCATAGAGTGCCTCGGAAGGGTCCGGAAAGCCCAGGTAGTGAAACCTGGACTAGCAATGACTGGGCCCATGGATCGATACTCCTGTGGGTTTTGGGGGTTGGGGTGCTCTGAACATCGGATTTAAATAGGCAGAGCCCAGTAGGGTTAAAATCGCAAAATGCAAGGCAAAACCCTGAACGATGATCGGTCCGGAACCCTGCAAAAACTCAAACCATTCGAGTTCCGAGCCCTCAATGAGTAGGGTTAGGGTTTAGGGTTTCCCTAGGTCCGGGATCCAGAACAAACACAAAAAACCCTCAGCGGGCCCCGTGATCCGAAAGGCTGACACTAGGATCAAAGAATTCCTGAAGACCACTCCGGAACTCAAGCTTACAGGCATCCACTTCTCGGAGTTCCTAGTTGTCTCTAGAGGTTTGGCTTGAGTGGGGCCAAAATCAACTTTGGCTTGCCGATGTGCTGACTTCTGCGCGTTTTTAGTTACTTCGGTTTCGGGGAAATTGCTACAGTAGTACTAGAAGGATGACTACAGTGATTGCTATAACGGTTATTATACTGGTTTCTCTACTGGTTACCATAATAGTAGTATCACTATACTTGCTACTATAATGGTTACCTATGGGGCTTGCGGATGTAGGGCTTTGGGTTCTGGCGCTAGGCTTGTAGAGCTTGGAAAGATGCGGTCGTAGTAGAAGATTCTGCGAGAAGAAGTTCTACCGTAGTTATAGCTCCCAACACAGTAGCCTGAACCTTGAATATAGAACACTGTAATATGATGTACTATGACATCATGAACTGTTATACGCTCTAAAGAAATACAGCAATGTAACTAATGTATGGCTACCGGTTTTGCCAGTATGCACGCTTTCAACCCAGAGCTGCAGCACTTCCATGTCTCGGCCACGCAGCATCGCGTTGACTTCGGAATTGTCCAAAAAGCCAGTGCAGCTGTAATCGAACTGGACGAAAGCAGCATCTATCCGGTTCGCCTTGAAGTCAGGGAAGTTCGAGGATGCGATGATTCAACAGACATCAATCAGCGAAACTGTGGGCACGGTCCCCCTACGCGGGGTGCCCCTTTACACCGGGCCGGGCAAGGGTATCTCAGCTTTCTCATGCTTGCCAACTTCTACCAAGTTGCATCGCTCTCCAGCTGGATCAGCAATTTGTCTGACAACCTGCAAATCTAAGGCTGAACGCATGGGCCCCTAGTATGGGCCCTTAACCCTGGGACCCTTATATACCTACTACATACCCTATATGTACCCTTAAGGGACCCTAGAAAGGCCTAAGCCGCTCTATCCTGGCCCGGAAAGGCTTCCAATAAAACTGCGCGAGCTGCAGGCGAGGCGCAAAAAGGCACTGTCCTGCGCAAAGGTACTGCAGGCTGGATGCAGCACATGTGGGAGCTTCCGAAAATTAGGGGTACCTTATTTTGGGGTCCTTATATCAAGGATCCTATTATTTAGGGTACTATATTAGGAGTACCTTATTTTGGGGGTCCTTATATTAAGGATCCTATTATTTAGGGTACTACATTAGGGTCCCCTATTTTCAGAAACCCCCATGTGCACTCCACATGAAATCGCTGACATCGCATCTCCCAATCCCAAGACCTGAGACCTGAACGAAAGAATTGAGGTTGACTTTGACACTAGACTCTAGACTGTCCTCTTCGCCTTTCTCCAGCGCCGTCCTGGCCTGAAGCAGAGCTTTAGGCTTCCCATGCTCTTCTTCGTGCTCCTGAAAGTGAAACCCTACACCCTGAAACCTTAAATCCTCAAAGGAGATCCTTAAAAGGAGACCGAAGTCTAAACCCTACAACCCTACGGCTGAGGCTTTGGGCCTCTTTGTAGGTGCTGTTGCCAGAGAGGTGAGGCGACCTCGAGAAACGAAAGCTTGGTTGAACACGTTTGGCAGCACTTCAGACTGGATAGCTTCAGGGTTCAATGCTGTAGACTGTCAAGACAATCAGATGGGTGGTTGTCAAAATTATGGTCCCTTTTTGGGTCCTTATCATAATACGGCACCTATTATTTAGGGCACCCCAAAAGGGACCCTAATTTTGACAACTACCCATCTAGAATCTAGCGCTTTCGTGTATATACAAGGCTGTAAGGCTTGGAGCTTCAGCGTCCACGGCTGTAGGATTCAGGGATATGGGGGTAGTTCTCTAAATTGGGGTCCCTTTTTAGGTCCCCAATATAGTACGGCACCCGTAAAAAGAGGACCCTAAAAGGGACCCCAATTTTTAAAACTATCCATAGGATTTTAGAGCCTTAAGGTTCAGGGCTTTAGGGTCCAGGCTTGTGCGGCTTCAGGGTTACGGCTTGCGGCTTGAGAGTTCGGAGGTGCGGCTCTCTTTCAGCTGGCGATCCTTCTGGCGACAAGACACCGACCCGACAAACCAACAAAGACCACGTCCCCATGTCTGAACATTGCGCCCCTGAGCCCGAAACCCTAACGCCCAAATTTGCACTACAAACATACAGCATGTAATATGACATATATCATATTTGGTTAGGGGCATATCATATGTGTATACATATATATATATATATGCACATAACTAGCTAAAACACGTACTTGTAATGTAAGAAGCCCTGGTTTGTTGAGCTCGGCGCATGCGGATGATCGCGTCGAGGCGGGGGAGTGGGCCCTTGGGCAAGGCCTTGCCGGTTGCGGCCTCGGCAAGATCCAAAAACGTTAGTTTGGGAGGGGTTTTAGGACTTTTTTTTGGATTTAAGGTTTAGGGATTAGGGTTCTAAGGTTTTTGGAGTTTTGTAGGGCTTGTGGGTTTGTTCAGTTTAGGCTTGGTGTTTGGGGCTTTGGGCGTTGCGTTGGGGCTTAGAGGGCTTCATGGGCACAGAATCGGACGTTTGCTTGTGCTTCGAAGGTTTCGTGGTTGTTGTGGGTTTAAATCCAAGGTAGAACCCATGGGCCCCTAGTATGGGCCCTTAAGCCTGGGACCCTCATTTACCTACTATATACCCTATATATATATATATATACACCCTTAAGCCTATATATATATACCCTTAAGGGACGCTAGAACCCCTTAAGGGCCCATGTTAGGGGCCCATGGGTTCAACCTTAGATTGAATGCTAGGAGCTGGTGGCATCGGAGTTTCGCGATTCTGAAGAGGGCACGACTATTTTGGGCCCTGCTCCCGTCCTCTCATTCGCCTTTCCACCGTCGACACCAAATCTTAGCATTCTGGGCATCTGGGCCTTCCCGGGTGGCTTTGAAACGCGTCTGCAGAACCCTCTGCCTCTCTCCAGCCAAAGCTCTGAGCTAAGAGCCCTATAAGGTTTCCGCCTCCGCGTCCCGAGGCACTGACAGAAACAGGAATCCTATGAAGCCGCAGAGGGATCGGAGTTTCAGAGCAGAAGATACCCCCGGCTTTGACCCCAAATACGTGGGTCCCTACTATAAGGACACCCTCAACAAGGACCTGCAATTCTAAGAATGCGCGCAAACCGACATACGTGCTCTGTCACTGTACGAACTGTAGAACGGTACAGGAAGTTAAACCTAAACCCTAGACCCTAGGCCCTAAACCCGAAACCCCAGCCCTAAACCCTAAACCCTAAACCCCAGGCCCTAAACCCTAAACCCTAGTTCCTCAATTTTCAGAACCCTCCCCCCAAAGCGTCTTAGAGCTGCACCTCCCAGACCTGGAGAGCCTGGCAAGAACAGGGCAGTTCATCAAACTTAGGGTTTAGGGGTTTAGGGTTTAGGGGTTTAGGGGTTTAGGAATTTAGGGTTTAGGGGTTGAGGGGTTTCGGGTTTAGGGGTTTAGGGTTTAGGGGTTGAGGGGTTTAGGAGTTTAGGGTTTAGGGGTTGAGGGGTTTCGGGTTTAGGGGTTTAGGGTTTAGGGGTTGAGGGGTTTAGGGGTTTCGGGTTTAAGGGTTTAGGGGTTTAGGGTTTCCGGCTTAGGGGTTTAGGGGTTGAGGGGTTTCGGGTTTAGGGGTTTCGGGTTCATGGTGTCGGGCTCAATTTAAGGGTTTGAGCGTGCTAGATTCGTGACTGGCAGGTGCCACACTTTGCCCTGGCCATCGATGCTATAGGGGACAAGGCGTACCATATGTCTGATCTTGCTTCTTTCCAGCCGCTTCATCTTGCGTTCGAAGAAAAATCTACTTGGATTGTGCTGCCACTGAGTCGCGCAAACCAGTGTACACATAAAGAGGACCCATAACAGCAGCCAGTGGCATCCATGCTTGACTGACCGATATGTGGTGGAAGATTCCTGTCGTGTCTGATGATCCCCAGGGGCAATGGTGCAGCCGACTTACGTGTGCTTTACTGCCAGGTGTTTATCTCCAGGCATTTTTGTCAATCGGTCTAGTGCCCGATGCGTTCAGTTCAGTGCTTGTGGTAGCACTAAATACTCGTGCTGGAGTGGGCAAGAGCCACAACAGTCGTTGGAAAACTCTCCGTGTACGTAGTAGCAGCAGCTGTAGAGATACTGCTGCTGGACAAAAATTGAGGGCCAGTCGTCACTACTTGGAGGGATTGTGCTCCAAAAACTGCAGGTGATGACACTGGGCTCTTGTTAACACGGCGGTAGAAGGTCCGCATTCAATGCTTGCTATGTAGACGGCGTCTCCCGAATCGATGCTAACATGGGGCAGCACACCGAACTCCATCCGCCAGTGCCATGTCTTGATGAAAGGACTGAACACTGACGCGAGCGATCAGTCGGCATCTTAACCTGGGGCCCAGTACAGTATCAGTTCCCCAATGGCCCTGTGCCGGACGATTTGCTTCAATGCCTGATAGAAGTTTGCCGTTTGTCTTGATACTCTGTGTTGCTCAGGAGAAGAGACAGACATAAAGGTGTATACAGAGACGGTAAGCTAGATTTGGCCCAGTGCGACTTCTGAAGCATATGCCGCTCCTCGCGATGTCTGACAGCTCGCGTGGGAGTTCTTCAATTTTCCCGTTCACGATGTCTACTGGAGTTTACTACAAAGCGGTTCCCCTGAATACCCTAACAATAAACCCTTGCGAGCCTGCTCATCATCTTCGCTGTGGGTTAGCCACCGAACGAACCTTACTGTGGTCGCCACGACTACTGCTGTGGCCCTGAGGCCGACTATGATCACGAGAATATATAGACACTGTGCCTACTCGTCAAGTTGCGAGCATGGCATCCCACATCAGGCTCTAGGTCCTAGGTAGTAGCATACTTGTTAGTACAGGACTACCACGACGTACAGTCTGAATCTCTTATTTCTAAGATCCTCCCTGAAAAGCCCCCTCAACAGCAGCTCTCGTTTTAAGAACCACCGGTAGCAGCCCAGGTCCGTTTCTTGAGGCCTTGGCTCGGCATATTGGACCTGGGATAACTTTTTCAGGCTCGGAGGTTAGCGGCTAAGCTTTTAGCGCTTCGTGGTTTAAGGGTTCAGTGCTTTAGAGCCTACGGCTTCGTGGAGGGGTGGGTCTGGGTGTAGGAGTTGCATGGTGTAGAAGTTTAGGGTTCATGGTTTATCGTGGCACGCGGTCCAGTTTAATGAAGACCCAATAGCAACAACTTAGCTACATGGTCATGGAATGTCGTGCATCAGGGCACTCTTCTGAGGTTGAAGAGGTGGATCTGTGGCTGCCTCCTTTCTACAGATTCTACCTGTTCATCTAGGTAGCACGATACTATGATATTATGTAATATTCGCTGATGTCTGAACAGTGGTGATACTGTGTGATTTGGTATGGTAAACCTGCTTCGGAGCCGGTCTGACGGAAAGCCCCCCTTAAGGGCTGGAATCCAAAACACCTGACAGCTAAACCCAAAACCCTAAATCTGAGCCCCGGGCGACTTTGTCATTGTTGCTATCGATGCTGCTGATCATCGTGTCAAAGGACGCCTGAGCTTTCAACACTGTGGCACAAGATTCAGGGCAAAGGGTTTTAGAATCCAGGGTTTTCGGGCTGGGTGCTCTCAGCTCTTCAGTATGCAGTCGACGCATTCGAGAAGTACCTGCGAAGTCCGTTCTCCCCCAGTGCGTAAGCGAAAGGGCCTCCCCCCATTGTAGTAATTTGGGGGTTTCCGAAAATAGGGGACCCTAATATAGCACCCTACATAATAGGATCCTTATTATAAGGACCCCAAAAGAAGGTACCCCTAATTTTCGGAAACCCCCATTTAATCTAAGCTTGGTGGCTTCAGGTTCG